ATTTCCTATTCATTGGCTGCGTAAAGATGTTTACTTTTCCTGTTTTTCTTTTGTTGGTGTTTTCATTGAAAAATTTCCCGTATTAACTCTTTCCAAAGAAAGGAGCATAACCCCTTGTGGACCGCGTTTCGTGGTGTAGACCAAGACTAGGCCGGAGGATAAGTTGTTCCTAAGATGGAGGATACAAACATATGCACACACGCTGTGCATTCAAGTGGTTTCAGCTTATGTATATGCTCTATCCTATTTCATGTTTATGACACACCTCAATAATCCGAAAATGCCAGCAAAACGTTTAATACCAAGGAAGCAGTTGAACCATCAGTGTGTTTGATTCCGAACTTTATATTCTTGCATGAAAATATAGCCGTGATTTTTACACGGGCGCGCTACTTACAGTGGATGGTATATCTTTTCCACCACATACATGGGGGTCGGACTCCATCGATTTAAAAGAGTAAACTGTGATGGCGGGACTGTAAAATTTATCACCTAATGCGAGCCTTTATTTCGGTGATGTGTTGACTATTGAGTACGATGCTAGGAGGATTGTGATTCCAATTGGACATTAAATGCAAATGTACGCATGGACGCACTTAAATCGATTGAGTAAGGGACTAGTGATCGTGTTGTATTAATTGAATGAGGAACGCGAAGTTGACCCGGCTCGTTTGACATGCATGAGGACGGAAGGAAATCCATACAAGTGCAAAAAACAGAGTAGCAATCCTGTTTTATGATGCCATCGACTTTATCATCCGTTTAACCTTCAACTGAGCAATGCATTAGCCTTTCCAGAATCTGTTTCAGTGCGCGACATCATGGGGGACAAATGGCAAAGGAAAATAATGTTGCTCGGTGGCACATCATGTGCAGGTTTGAAACGCTTTGTTGCCTTGCGACTAACAGTCCGGGGCAGGGGCTGCTGCTGTTGGCAAAAACAGACCACAAACATGTCAAGCCAAACTATTGTTGCACCAAAGATAGCAACTTTCATCTCCTCCCACGAACAAGCAAGAGGACTGTTTCAGGCCAAACCAGAATGAAAGCGGAATCACAGAAAATGGCACAAAGAATACCGGCAACAGTTTTGTTCGTTTCAGTTCAGTTCAGCTCCCTCAGTTTTAAAATAGTTTTTGTTTTGGCGCTGGTTTTGGCTGTGACTTGTTTGATTTCGTATCACATGAATAAATATTATCCTTACAAAAAGTTTTTGTTCTGATTGTGAGTGTTGCTTAGACAAGTGGGGGAAGGTTAGTAAGGCTGCATGCAGTCGGAATATCTCCCCTTCATCTGTGCGCCTCGCACTTACAGTGGATTCTTTCTCCCAAACACGCTTAGATTCTAAATCGTTACGATTTCGACATTTTCAACACCTAAAACTCTTCTGTGGAGCACATAAAATGCTATCGCCTAGGAACAGTTGGCAACCAACAGCACCTTATCGCAAAGAAACCTTTTGAAGCTAGAAAATGGAATAACAAAACGATGGATATTAAGCTGATAGCTATGACATCGCAGATGGCAGACTATGTTGTACTTGAAACCACTGTGTTCGAGCGATATTTGTAAATGGGCTCCACAGTGGGGTTGGAATGGGACTTTCTATGCATGGAGGCGGTGGCGCATAAAATTGCAATCATATTAAAAGTCATTCAACTAGCAATGCAATACACTATATGCCACAGAATGTATTCACATATTCAGATGTTTGTCCACCATATAGGGTGTTCTATATGGACATACACATTTAACTGCTGGTGTTCGTGTAATCATACCAGAGGCATCGGTACCAAATACCGTGCAAATACACGACAAGTGTTCATTTTTTGTTCCAAAAAAGTCTTCGTTCGTCAAAAACTGAAGGACCAACATTTCGACAGCACACAGAGAAGTTCCGGCATTTCTTTAGGGAAAAGTACACATTAATAGAGATTAAAGATATTATTCCGAAAACGATGTTTTAGGCACTTTTAAGTACACTTATCCACCCACAAGTACTTACGTTACGTCTAGCCTTAGACATTACTTCTGGTTCGTGGCTGGTTGCCCCAGTCACTACTCATCTTTTACAAAAACTAATGTATTATTTTGAGTATATGGGAAATCGAAAGACATTTATATACGAAGCTCTAACCCTATCAATGCTACAGTTTAATTTATGTCTCGTACCACATACCAATATTATCAGGTGCACACCATTTCATAAGGATGAACTTGAGATCGGAGGAAATGTTTCTATTTCTGAGTGGATTTCGCCAAAATCAATAGGCTTCGTAGGTAAAGAATTCAATCTTGACCGGACTACAATCACGACCTTCATCTAAAATGTTCTTCTTCCATGGCCATAGACAGTGCCATAAACACCCTTTGGGTGCACAAGTGTATTTCCAGTGACATTGCATTTGCAACAACTTAAAAAACAAGTGAATTTGTTGTTGTTTTTTGTTTTATATTAAGCGATGCCATGATATCTGTGGGCGGTCGAGAGCTCACATTCATGCTTCCGAACGTATATCGATTACTATTTTCTGCAGAAAGTAAAACTTTTCCGCCGACAAACTGGCACGTCGGCCGTACTAATCAATACAAGGGGAAATCTGCGACCGAATTGCACTTCTCGATCGACTCTGAGTGTTTTCTTCTTTCCCATATTTTAGGCACTGGTTTAATGCCTGAAACCGTTCTTCGAAACAATCCAGACTGACCTGGCAAACTTTCGGTCCATTCATTTTCCGGTCGACACTGACAATGCTGCGATAAGGAGATATGCATATCTTGATGGCTGCTTTGAAGCTCGCTTTGTTTGTTTGGCACTAATTACCGGGGAAATTAGCATATAAAGTATTTGAAAATAAATAACGTTAGATATACACACACACATACACACAAGGACATTTGCCATTGTGTTCGAAAGGAGGCCGCCAGGCAATGCCACAGCTGATGCCGCATCTCCAAAGCTTGAGTCGCTTGACTCGATGGTGTATTTCGAGTCGACGACGCAGGGTGGGAACAACCATCAGAATGTGTTGGCTATCTTTGCAGGATTATAAGGGAGTGCAGATGGATGCAGGACTACTTCGCAGCAGAGAAAACAAATCGCCACTGAGATGTCCCTGTCCATGAAAATCTTACATTTGTGGGCTAGGTGGGTGGGGAGGGGTTTGAAAAGAAAAGACCGAATCATTTTTTATCGTCACACGTAGCCACATGGCCATTATCCATTCGGACAAACTTATATGGCAGTTCAGTCGTTCACTTTGTCCTTTTCTCGCTCTGTTTGCCAATTGTAAAAATGTTTGTCTTTTTAACACAATCGCTTCTTGCAGAGAGCAATAAAAGCAAGATTTAATACAATGTGTTTTAAACATTGAAAGTAAACCTCCTGTGACTAGAGCGAATGGTGATTTCCTTTCGACAAGCATTCCGTTTGACTCGGCCGTCGGGATGGTGTCCCGTCACACGGAAGGGTGTGGATGGCGGGTGGTTGTGCCCCAACATTCCTAACTATCAAGACGATTGTCCTGTTGTACAGCAAACTAATGCGAGCAATTAATCACGGGCTCCTTCTTTGGAGAAACGATTGTGTGGACACGAGCACACACAGACATATTCCAGACGAGAACGGTGCTTTCCAAGACCCCACCGGACAAATGGATGACACTTTCTTTTAAATATTAGCTTTAGAACTTTGCGTTTGTCGAATTCCAAAATATATACACATAGTTCTCGCCGTATCTAAGGAGTGTAACACGGTATTGCTTCCCAGCAGACTAGCTTTTTCCTCTACACAAAAGTTTATGCAACAGCACCCACTTTGCGGATTTATTTCCAATTTGCTAGTGTGTTTGTGTGGGTGTGTGGTTTTCGAGTGAGTTGGCCGAACAGACTTAACCTCAAATTCACACATAGCTTAAGATGACTTTTGCCATCAAACTTCCAGACACCACAGCTGTCGTAAACTGCGAAGCAGGCCGCAACACAACGGAGGACGCACCAGTAACCCAATCCCATTTCGTCTATCGCTTATCCCTTTTTTATTTCGCTTCCTTGAATTTGTTTATGTTTTTTGACTTTGTACTCTTCTCTTGCTTCTTTATTGGTTTAGTGTCTTGCCATTCATTTAAGTTCTTTTCGCATTAAAAGCTTAAATAAATCTCTTTGTAAATGTTCCTTGTTATTTTATTCGCAAACCCATCACCCCCCCTCTCCCACCCCCTCGTGCTCAAGAAATTTAGACTTGAGTACGTGGAGTTGAGTTAATAGCCTGTGTCACAAGTATGTGGAGATTTCATCATAAATTAACCAGAGAAAAAAAGATCAGGAGAGAGAAAGAGTAGGGAGGGGGACATTGTGTTTTTGGAACTTCTGTAGGATTATTTAACAATGCCAAGTAGATGACCGAAAGCAGGAAAATCGAATATCCCCCTGTATTTCGGTACACCCCAATGTGTCCAGCTCGTCCACAACTCTACGTAGGTACGTTCTTATTTAAGTCACGCAATTATATTTTATTGTTGGTGAGAGTAGAAGGTTTTGTGTTCGAAATTCCCAAGTCGTAGCCGTTACCCTGCGACTGACACAAATCCGCAATGCTTTATGCCTCACTGTGATTTTAATAAATGGTCATTGAAAGCACGAATTGTCGTATTGCTAGTTTAACTTGTTAACTTGTTAGGCGCCCCGTCCGCTCCATATTAGGCCACTGTCACATTCCATCGTACGACAAATACTCGAAAAGATCTTAAAGGGGCGACACAATTGAATTCCGTAACACTTCAGATGTTACTGAACGGCCTTCATCGCGTTGGCCTTTGAGCAGTATGGGCACAACAACACTGAACGGCCTTCATCGCGTTGGCCTTTGAGCAGTATGGGCACAACAACACTGCTTTATTGACAAATTACAAATTTGAAACTCTAATTAATTTCTAATTCGCCGCAAACGTAATGGGCTCGTCTCAATGTTTAGCCTACATTTAATTCTCCGTTTTACTTACCGCATGCGCCTGAGCACACTCGTCGATGTAATGTGTTGTTATTATCACAGTCGTGCTGCCATTCTTGGTTATGTCCACCAGGTGGTCCCAAATGCTGCAAAAAGTAATGCAACGTTAACGAACATGTCCTCAATGGGCAGGACGAACGGACAGGACTTGAGGATCGGCCCGAAACCAGAAAAGTTTGTTTTCATTTACTTACCTTTGTCGCAATACTGGATCAACTCCGGCAGTGGGCTCATCAAGGATTAAAAGTTCCGGTTCTTGTAGCAATGCCACCGCTAAGCTTACCCTGCGCTGTTGGCCGCCGCTTAGATTTTTCACAAATTTTGAGCCGTGCGGCAAATTCAAAAGCTTCAGTAAAAACTCTGTCCTGTCTTCAATATCAGCTGCTGACATGTCTGCGATAAGGCCAAAGTATTTTAACGTCTCCCTCATTGTGAATTCGCCGTACAGGGCCACCTCCTAGGTTTTTCAAAAAAAAAGAAGAAACAATTAATTGTAATTCCTTCTATTCCCTTTCTCCATTGAGTGTTTTCAAATGCGTTTCTCTTGGTGTCACTATCACTCACTCATTCGCTATCGCTCTATATCTGAACCGATTACAAAAATAAACGGTCCGACAACTCGAAAGAGGGCTGGCAGACGAACATGCATAAATACAAATAGAAAGTAACCCTGGGTTATTTATTCATTCTGCATCCAAGTTCGGCCGGGCTGAACTTTTAAAATCCCCTCCACCTCGAGAGAAAGAGTACTGCTAAAGGAGCAATTCAATGCTATGCGATCATCCGGTAGCACTACTACACTACTTTACTTTCCATACATCTGAAACATCGTCACTAGCTACTAAGGCGTGATGTAATGAGCCTGTCATGTAAATGCGTGTTTGGTGGTTCACTTGATTCTTAAAAATATTGGCAGAGAGTTGTGCAGAAGGGGTTTTGCCCGGAACAACTAGTCCTTGCAAACTTTTGTGGCAATTGGCTATATTTGCCCCTCTATCGTGCTAAGGTCCGTTCAGAATAATATTCGAAAATGTAAACTCTAGTATATATTTTAGTTTATTCCGTTATCTGTAGACGTACTTTTTCTATGAATACATATGTGTTTCGTTGGGAAGGTTCTTTCAATATTCGTGGCCTAAATAAGATTCTACTGCAATATATCTCTTTGATCGGATTGTAATTGAAAGTGATACATTAGATGGACCTATATCGAAAAATATACCCTAACCTACACTTTTTACACCCTATGAGAACTGAGAAATTGGAAATTGGATGTTTTTTGACCAAATCCTGAGCAAGAAGAGAGAAAACATTGTAACTCATGTTGTCCTACATTACCCGTTTAGATAATCAACGCAGCAGCTGTCCGAATATCATGAAAGTCTTAAAACGTTGAGCGTTGGGTCCTAAAGTGTGAGTGAATGATTGTGATTAAAAGCATATTAGAGATCTTACCTGAGGCATGTATCCAATTCTTGGTCCTGGTACACCTGAACCCCTTGAGCCTGGGCGACCGCCAAGGACCCATATTTCACCGGAATTCAATCGTCTACGTCCGACGATGCATGACAAAAGCGTAGTCTTGCCACATCCAGATGCTCCCAATAAACCATATCTGCAATGAAAGTGTTGAGAAGTTTGTGAGCACAGCTTCAGTAATAATCAAAATAGGTCTTGCGATAGGTCTGGGAGGAATTGCAGTTTCCGCTGTTTGTCTGGCCATCAATAACCCTAAGCCCAACAAGTGATCAGTTTGCTTCTCACAAAATGCTTAGTGCGACGACATAGCCGGAAAAGCTGTTAAACAATTGAGACTGAATAAACTTTTCCAATAATTTTCTGAGTGGTATTTTGAAATCAAAGGGTATTGCCTGGGGCTCATAATGGTTCAACTTTGTTGTTGGTGGTTTCATTCTTAGCCAATTATAAATTGATTGTTCGTAATATTAAATCAAAAATGTTAAATATGGCCTGTCTGCAAACCAAAGACACATGTGTACTCCAGTTAAAGTTGTCGGAGGATAAATATAGAGGTACAAAGGCCGAACGGACATCGCCGAAAGTCTTCGAATTTTATCCTGACCAAGAATATACATACTTTAGGGGCCGCAAATGATTACCATCCATTGTTCGCAAATTTTCTAAGCAAACTTAAGTATTCTGACTCAAAATTTCAGGGAGAGTCGTCAATGTGATGGAGTGGTGCCTGAGAAGTTTAGCAATGCAGCCGAAGAGACCTCCACCGCCATTACCAAATAATAGATTTCCTTCCTAATGTTTGGTAGTCTTGGCTTAGAGTTGAGGGATGCTCAATGGTATTTTTTTTTTTAAGTAGATTCAATTGATGTTTTAGGTTATAGCTCACTTTCAGCTCATGTCTGAAAGTTTTTACGAGGCTGAATTGTTTTGCTTGGGCAAGGCGATTAAAAGTATTTATACCACGATGGGCATTAATAACCAAAAGCGTTAGCTGCATACAGACGTTGTTAGGCTCTATGATTGAAAACGATCGAAAATTATTAAAATTTACAAAAATATCTTCTGGTACTGGTAATGGAATGTTATGCGCCTCAAGCTGGTCACAGTCACCACAGATTCTAAGCTTACCAGATGTTTCTTACCACAACAATTGAGCGGCCCTGTCTGAGTAATTTATTGGACTGATAATGCCTTTTCGTTCTAATGAGTCGAGTGTTTCATCCAGTGCTTGTTTCGTGCGACCTGTCGCATAGGTCGGGATTAAGGAACCGCATTTTGTTTTAGTGACGAGTGAATTTTAAACCTTTGGCGTGCCCTGTTTCCTCCATGAAGACTTCTAGGAACCTTTTTTCGGAACTCCACTTGCTGTTAGTGGTTTATTGAAATTTACGTTGAAACATGATGTGTATAAATCTACAGGTTTACTCCACAATTTGAATTTTTCGATGAGATCAGATCAGATGCAAACAGATTAAAATCGGGAATAGACGAAACTAAAATGTTACAAGAACCATCAGTGCCATTGATCGAAACCGTAGCTTCAAATTGTCCCAGTATCTGAATGCTGTTTGCTGATGCAACACGAGGTGCTAAAGTAGATGTCTCCAATGGTGGCTTTCCGATCTATATCCATGTTTGTTTTGCAATAATTGTAACATCTGGTCCTTCATATTATTGACAAATAAAACCACACATGTCGTTTGTTGCTTTTGTTGTGTGCACTCCTTTCACATATTTTACTTTGCCGAATTTATGCTTGGATTGCTGTTTATTTTTGTTAGAAAAACACTAGAAAACCCTCCTTGTGGTCTTCAAAGTGTTTAAAGTTGTCAGTACTTCAGTTATTTAGCAAAAAATTTTCACAAATGCGATTTACAATGGCGAAATAACCTATGATGTCTTCCGATACTCCTTGAACATTCTGCATGCATTTCACACGAATACTAAATAAACCTTCTATTGATCGAAACAGTTTTTTCAATGTTTCAACGGTGTCGGCAAATTGTTCATCCCGAGGTTTCCTAGGGTGTAAGTAATTCCTGTATTTATTAAATACTTCCGTGCTTAATTTTCGCAGAGGTAAACCCACTTTGGATGCCTCGTCAAGATCATTGGCCTCTGTTAGGAATATGTCCTCGTACCGGTCGTACCATGTTGCAAATATGTTGCGTTCTTCTGGATTGTAATCTAATTCAAGAATTTCCTTGGCAATTATGTCGATCGACGGGTTTGCTTCGTGACATATTGATGAGCATTTCCATCAGCCTCTGTTGCCGCTCTACCGACTCCTGCTGTCGTGACAAGGTTTCACCAACCCCTTCTAATAATATTGTTGCCATTTTCATAAATTTGTCTACCACTTCGCCACTTGTTGCATTCTTACCATCTACCACTTAGTGTAATGAAAAGACCAACTGTTACTTGTAATACCAAAAATGGGTTTATTAATTAGACAAAGATTTGAGTACTAGACTTCTTTTAGTAGTTCTCCAGCCTAGAATAACATTTATTTATCAAGCCTTTTTGGATAGCTGACAAGAATGCAAAGCTCGTCTTAATGTGAGACGGTGTTCATTATCTTTAGCGTTGAGTTCGAGAGGGTTTTAAAATAAAATCTCTCAGAGACAGGACATCCAATTAGGACGAATAACCTGCTCACTTGGGGTGTCTTTGCATTTGAAACGGTGGCTACAGAAATACTCTGGCAAACACAATTCTCAGTGCAATTCGAACTGAAAAAAATATCCTACAAATTCCAAATTCAAAGAAGAACAAACAGATTCGATTGTTGAGGAGTTTGGTGTGGCGAGGTGAGGTGAGGTGAGGGGGGTGGGGTGGTGTATGGTTAGTTACAAAGAGAAATAATTTTTCTAATTCCAAATAGAAGACGCTTTGACTCGAAAATTTCTTTTGATTTGTTTGTCCAGCGTTGCTCTGGATCGGGCAGGAGGATTCTGTTTCTTTTGTTTTGCTTTTTAATTAACTTTTATGGCAACTCGGTTTTTTGTTGGCAATGGTCGTTGGTGCGGCAGGCAACATTATGTGTCCGCACGTACAGCCTCCTTGCAATGTGGGGGTGCTTGGACTGCCTCCCTGTTTCGAAATCTGTCGGTTGTGTTTAATTGTGGTTTGTCTCTATGAAACTCTGTTGTAAGTTTGTGGCATTCTATGTGCTTTACATGCTCGTTCGGTGGTTTGTTTAATGCCTAACCTCAAAGCAAAAGGGAAGAATCAACAGAAAACAACCACAACAATGAGTGAAACAGTTCTCGGCTCCTCTTACATCAGCCAGCGGCCCGGAAAGTGGCTATTATGCCATCGTTGCTGATGAGGACCGATGCGGACTTTTAAGTGATGTTAATGTGTATCATTTTTCACAAAGTTGTCCAAACAAGCAGCGATCGATACCAACGAGCCCAAATTATGTAACAACTATTTTTATTAAGTCTTTAATTATTAACTTTTACACCTCCTCTTTTTCGTAATTCCATTCCTCGGATTGCTTGTTTGTTTCGAGTTCCTTGTTTGGCCAACCGTTTTAGTTGCATTTCATTAGTCCGGTAGAAACGGGAAGCTAGAAAATACACGAGTTTGCGGTTCGCACAGGAATGAGCTGAGTCAGATATTAAAAAGAAAATGTCCGTGTGGCAGCAAAAGCAGCTCGCGGTTAGGCGGCTGTCTTGTAACACTCCTTACATTGCGTGATGGCCTGTCAAATAGATTGGAAGTTTGTTTTGCTTTCAGCACGGACTGCTGCTGTACAGAAGTTACTTGAAAACATCTTCCAGCCAGTGGCTGGCACAGCGCAGCGTATGCGAACATGGCAGCCCCTCGAACGAACTTGTTTAAATCCTCACCGCCAGCCACCACATGACACAATGGTCAACTGATTGCCAGTGATTTTGTCCTAATTGACGCTAATACTTATTGCTTACCTACCGCATTGGCTGTTCGTCGCCCTCCGTAGATTCGCTTCACAAAGAAACTCAAAAGTAATTGAACAAATTGGAATCGTTTATTAATTTAAATGAATTGCAGTCTCGCTCAATTAGTATTGCGGATGCCCATGGAGCAGTCGAAGGCACCTATCCCAGGGAGCAGCTAACAGTGCTGCACAAAGTATTTGCTAAGTTTGTTTTCGCATTCGGTAGATGGACTTGATTAATCGAGCAGGACATTCGATTCTAGTTCTTAGGAAACCATAGTGTGTATATGAACCTAATCGGTTTGAGTATTATGTTGAGGGCACACAAATCCTGAAAAGCATAAAACTAGGACTCACAACAACTTTCTTTCGAGTTGAGAAAGCTGTAGTGACAGAGACTTCTTCAGCAACATTTCACGAAGTGATTTCGAATTAGAAAGTGGCGTATCTATGTATGGATGGAATCCAAATGTGTTAGTTGGCCAAAGATGTGGCTATTTGAAGAACTTTTTTGAGTAGGAATCTGGATGGATATTAAAGATATAGTTCAGGTCATTTAACAACAACGATAACTTCAAATTTGAATTGTAGTGTTCGTGGCCCTGATAACCCAATTAGGGAGATTAGTCCTGAAAAGTACAGATTTATATTCAACATCCCTGCAACTTAGATCACTTGCTGTAGCCAGGATGGATTTTGAAACGGCCATGAAATCAAATAAAATTAATGTACTGCCATCCCCGCCGTAATGAGGAGTGTGCCACACAAAATGTTTAATGACACCGATGTGGCAGCAGTCACTGTTGCTGGTGATAATGACGATGATGAGGCAATTCATGGATAGCAGAGATTTAGATTTTATCGAACTTAAACAGAATGGCCTTGTTGTTGCGAACTGCCTACGTAATGGCGGAAATTAAATTCTTTACGGCACATGATTAACCAATAATTACACAAACACCAAGTAGGCCCGAGCATTATTAGCTGACCGAGTCAATGAGGCCATCCAGCACTCGTCCTGTAGCAAAAACAATGCTCCTTTCTATTCCCTTTTCGGCTTGCTGTTCGTTATTGTTATTACCGAAAGCCAAACAACAGAATAAGGGTCTCCGCATACAAATTTAATTATGCTTAGACAAATAGCAAAAGAGAGAATAAGCCAAAAGTACTACCAGCGTGGGAGGGGGCAGGGCCCAAACAGCCGCCGCCTG